ATTCTGCTAACATTTTTGATATGATAAGGCCAGGGTATTATGGTATAGATATATATATTAAGAAATATCATATATGGCTCTCTAAGCTTAGAGACACTTTTATGGCGTCAACAGCACTTTTTTAAAAACTCGAGAAGAACTGCCAAAGATTCAGTTAAAGATACTGAAACCTATCCCAAACACCGTGAACAAATTATGAATTTGCCTATTATTTTAATAATAAATCCTGCACTTACAGTATATATTTTATGCATTCTACAAAATTCAAGAGTACACAAAAATCTAACACATTTATTGGTCATTTTACACATTTATAAATACAATGTATTGAGTGAATTTGAAATATTTTGGACACTGAAGGTGTTAGTGGTGGTTTTTAGGTCTCTGGGCTGATATAAATCCCAAAACCGAAGGATTTAATTTGAGCCTGTGGGGCCTGTAATATGTTGTAAAAAGTTTTTTCTTACATTTTCCTAAATTGTAAGCTGAAATATCCACTGTACAGAACAAGCACACTGGCTGCTGAGTGCTAGTCGCATGATCATTGCAAATTAAACTGAACTCTGGCCTGAAACCTGAATGTTAATGCATCCTCATAAATGTATAAGCCTACAAAATATGTCAGAAATTGCAAACAAGCCAAACTTTCTGCATGAGAATGTGTATGGGAAGTAACTTGTGTCTTTATCAATTTTTAAAAGTGACCAAGTGAATCCATGTTCTGCTTTTGTAATGAAATGGTTACATTTTCATGTTTAAATGCACTAGAGTGCAATAAATGATATATCCTTTGGATGCCGTCCGTGTCTGTTGTGTGCTTTATTGTATTCTAACTTCATACATTTAACATTTTAATTGCTGAAAGGCAAGAATGAAATCTTAAATTTAATATTTAGACTACGTTAGTTTCAGTGGCTATAATTTTGTACAAAACCAAGTCAACAAAAGCATTATTTAAATATACTTTTAGTTCTAAAACACACACACATTTATTTCACCCAGTATATCTAAAGCAGCTGTTTGCGTTAAATTTGAATGTTTTCCAAGTAAATTTACCTAAGGACTTGTGAAAGGACATATTGCATGCATCGTTAGTCATGAGAGCATATTAACAAATAACGTTTTTAATTCTGAAATGCTGGAAATTTAATTAAATTCAGCAGAAGACTGCGCGAATCTCCCTCTAGAAAATCTTTTATTTGCTAGTAGCGCCATCTGCTGGTCGACTCGAACGTCTACGTTTGTTTATATCTGTCCACGTCGAGCTAATTAGGCACTCCTCACACCTCAGTTTAATATAGCTGGAAATAAACACATACAACTGCTGGCAAAGCACAGAGAGATTATTTGGCCATACTTCATGTTCATCTTAAACCAACATGAGGTGACATGATACGACTCTCAGTTGGTCGCCTCACAGACAGTCAAGGAGCAGCTGTGGACAGGTGAAGCAATTAGCCTAAATTTAGTTGAGAATTCCACTGTTGTCTTCAAACAGCGATGCCTTGTCATCTGATGCGGTTTTACTGGGATGATCCAACCAAATGTTGTTCAAACTCCCTTTAATCCCACAAAATCTGGTAAATGCTGCAAATTCAATCCCTCGAGGTTCAATGTCTGTTATGGCTGCTTGCGGCACCTTCCAGGAATAGGGTACAATTTGTTGTCCCATTTATTTATTTATTTTAAAGCATTAGAGCAGGGGTGGGCAAAGTTGGCCCTTCCAGGCCACTTTCCTGCAGAGTTTAGCTCCAACCCTAATCAAACACACCTGAACCAGCTAATCATTGTCTTCAAGACTACTAGAAGGCTACAGGCAGGTGAGTTTTATCAGGGCTGTCTCCTTCCTTTGGGTTCCTGCCCATGTAGGGGTGGAAGGAAATGAAGTTGTGGATATGCTAGCAAAAAACTCTACAAAGCATGAAACAGTAGATGTACACGTACCAATCCAAATACTCCACTTGCTTCTCACACTTCATAATAAGGGAATGGCTGTCTCCTTCCTTTGGGTTCCTGCCCATGTAGGGGTGGAAGGAAATGAAGTTGTGGATATGCTAGCAAAAAACTCTACAAAGCATGAAACAGTAGATGTACACGTACCAATAAGTAGAGCAGAGGTCAAAACCATCATAAAGCAACATTCACTTAAAATATGGCAGGAATATTGGAACACAGTGGATACAGGACGTCATGTATACAGTATACAAAATCAAGTAGTCACAAACATGAGGAAGGGCAGAAGCCCAAAGGAGGAGATGTTAGTCTCATGTCTTAGAATGGGGCACACTGGTTTAAATACAACATTGCACAGAATAGGAAAACATCCCACTGGATTATGCACTTATTGTAATGTACAAGAGACAGTGAAGCATATACTGTTAGACTGCAAAAAATATGAAGAAGATAGGGCAGAATTAAAGGCACAAATGGATGAACAAAGCATGACACTTGAGCATTTATTAGGGAAAGCATCTGGGAGAATACACAATTTATTAATGTTATTTTTGAAAAACACTGGGTTAAGTGAAAGAATTTAATAGGGTTTTTTTTTTTGTTTGTTTTTTTTCCTCTTCCCTCTCCACTCCTTTGATGTCAGTCTAATGCCCACACTCCAGTCTAGTAGGTGGCGGTAATGCACCTTTGAGATGAGTTGCCAACCGCCATTAAACCTGAAAGAAGAAGAAGAAGAGTTTTATCAGGGTTTGATCAAATCTCTGCAGGAAAGTGGCCTGGAAGGGTCAAGTTTGCCCATCACTGCATTAGAGGCACAAATCCCATGTTTTTGAACGATTAGATATGTTAGATAAATTATTATCTAACTACTTTAGTTCTACTTTAGAATAAATGATCTAACACGAAATTAACCTAGCATGACATACAGCTTTAAACTGGGTATTTTGGCCTATCAGAGACTACTATTACTAACATTATACAACGTCACATTTTTGGCATAATCTGTTTAATTCATTTACAGTTAATTCTAGTAAAATATTTGAATATTATTAAAATATTACACAGATGTTGCTTAAAGTTAAATGCTTAAAAATTCACCCAACACACTTACCCCCGGTTTCACAGGCTTAAGCCTAGTCCCAGACTAAAATGTAAGTCTGAGCTGTTTTAACTGAAAGACACTTGCACTGACTGATCTTAAAATATATCAGTGCCTCTGTTTTGTCTCAAAATGCACACCAGTAATGTTTTTTTTTCCTAAGGCACATTAATAAAAATTACTTAAATGTCCTAATTGAACTAGCCTATTGCCTAGTCCTGGCTTAGTCTAAGCCCTGTCTGTGAAACCAGGCCTTAAAGTTTGGTTTTCAGTTTTTCTATGTCCACATTCTGTTATCAATGAGGCAGTGCCTTAAGCCTTCAATAAATTGTTGATATTGAAATAACATACTTGACCTTTTTATACTACAATTAAAGTTTTATACAAATATTATTTTTTTTATGTTTGTATATTGTATTGATTTCTAGACCATCAGTGTCACACCAAAATATTTCAAATAATTTTCTGTCCTTTTTGTACATTTATGATTGTTACATATTTAACAGAAACTTAGTTAATTTAAGCACTGCAGAACCTATTAGAGACTCATCAATTAACAGTACTGAACTACATGCCCTCTCTGCTAGACTTGCTTCAGTTCTCCAGGATTCTTCTCATCTGAGGTTTCTGTCACTGTTTGCCAAACTGGCAGCCCATTTACCAAACATGTAACAATGTTCTCAGGGTACAAGAACATTCCGTTCTCCGATCATTTCAGCTAACGTGAAACCTCAGCAGGAAATGCGATGGTTATTCCTTTTTAATAGTGTTTTACTAGACTGTGGTAAAAAAAAAAAACACACACGCCAACAACCAGTCTGTTTTTTGAAGCTTATTTACTTACACCAATAAAAAAAAATGAATTGAACTGTTTACATCTTTGCACCATATTTGCATAAGCCTCTATCATTGCACAAGTTCAGCAGATACCGGCACACTATAGTAATGTTTATAAGGCAGACGAGCACGTAATAATCATACATTTTCATTTATTAAAAGGGGTGGGGTTGTTTTATTTGGAACAGCTAAATAGCAGCAGTGTAAAATCAGAAACTGTGGAAATTCATGAGCTCACATGTTTGGTGTAATACTGTGACACAAAAGCACTGGTAAGCAATAAGGACAGATGGAAAATATCCTCTGTATATGCGTGTACCCTCATGAGTCAAAGCAGCAGCATTGAAAAGAGAGATCCTTAATTACATGAACAGTTTCTAGCACAGATATCTGGATATAAGATACACAGACATTACCATTTAAAAGTTTGGGGTTTGTAAGATTGTTTTTTTCTCTTGCTCACCAAGGCTGCATCTATTTGATAAAAAAAGTAATATTGTGAAATTATTACAATTTAAAATACAATTTTTAAATGTTTTTTTATTTTAAATATAGTTTAAAATGTAATTTATTTCTGTGATTGCAAAGCTGAATATTCAGCATCATTACTCTAGTCTTCAATGTTACGTGATCGTTCAGAAATCATTCTAATATGCTGATTTGGTGCTCAAGAAACTTATTATCAATGTTGAAAATAGTTATGCTGCTTATGTTTTTATGGCAACTGTAATGCATTTTTTAGGATCCTTTGATTAGAAAAGAACAGCATTTATTTTAAATATTATTTTTGTAACAATCTTAAGTCTCTACTGTCACTTTTGATCATTGTAATGCATTCTTGCTGAAAAAAGTATTCATTATTTAAAAAATTGTACTGACCCCAAACTTTTAAACTGTAGTGTACAGTATGCAGTCGTGCAGGTGAATTACCAATTACATGTGTATATTTATAAAAAAGAAAGACTGATAAATCCATAAGACTATTACATCACTGCAAAGACATTTGAGGAGAAAGCATTTCTCTTCATAACACCATAAGCATACTGGCTAAAATATAAAATATGATTAAATTAAAGCTTAAAAATGAATCATTCAAGTTTTATTTGGTGGGTAGTCTAAGTCCATAAGTATTATTCAAGTGTTATTATTATTATAATTGTTATTGATATTAAGTGAATCTTACCACATACCCAAAGTTATCTGGCTTCTGAGCGATGCATGATGTCCCTCTAGCAAATCAAGCCGTAATTTAAGCATTTTAACTGGGCAGTAAAGAACTGTAATCTGGATAAGGAAGTGTGACTATTAAACTACAGGTTTATTAAAGTGCAGGGAAATGAAGTGCATATGATGTTTTTGTGTTGTTCAGAAAGACAAGCTTGCTGAAGTTGCTCTGACGGTCTTGGCATCGTATGACAGGTCCGTGGGTTAAATAACCTCTGAAGCATGGGGGAAAACATTAACATTTTGTATACCAACTGTATAACGTCAAATTTTAATTTACTTAAATCTGATGTATTTATAATATAAAAACAGGTGGCATGCATTTAATAGTATACTATACCAAGTAATGAATTTTCTTTAAATTATACTTAAATAACTCTTTAATAACCATTCTTGCATAATATTTAATCTAATCCTTGAATAATCAATTGAGTTGCATAATATTAACTTAATATATTTATTTAGATTTACATGCAGTCAGATGAATGCATTCACATACCGGTTTGCTGATGGGCTTGTATCTCATCCAGGCCAGAAAGACTGCGGAAGGACCGTCGCTCCTTGAAAGCCACAGTAGGAAGCATATCCTCCTCGTCCCTCAGCTCCAGTTTTGGCGTTTTTCCTGGACCTGGTAGCCTGATTACAGGCTTCATGTTCTCACAAGGCAAGTTGTCCTTCACTGATGCAGTTTTCTAAATGGGACAAAAAGTGAGCAGGGCCTCTAGATGTGGCATAAACAAAGCTCCTGCCAGTGATAGTCTTACCTTGTTATCAGAGTCTGTCTTTCTTGTTCTTTTCATGATTTCTTCCAGACGCTGATTTGGGAAAAATTGAAATCACAATATACATTAGGGTCGGTAAGATTTTCTATGTTTTTGAAAGAAGCCTCTCATGCTCACCAAGGCTGCATTTGTTTAAACAAAAATACAGTAAAAACAGTAATATTGTGAAATATTATTGCAATTTAAAATAACTTTTTTCTATTTGAATATATTTGACATTTTATTTATTCCTGTGATGGCAAAGTTGAATTTCACAGTTAGCCAAACGGCTGTCTGTTTCTAAGTTGTACCTTTTTCCTGTCTTGGCGTTCGGCCTCCTCTTTCTGGAAACGACTCTCTCTTTCCAGTCTCTGCTGCTCTGCCAGCACCCTCTGACGAGCCTCTTGCTCTCTCTGAAAGTACATTATGGAGATTATAGGATTTTTATTTTTATTATTTCCAATGATCCTTTTAACATGATATGATCCTAGCTTTATTTTAGGTGAAAAAACGAATGGTCAGAAGCCAAAAAACTTGACCAAAAGACAAGTAAGATGGTATGTCAGTGAGAGGAGCATAGGAATTACTATATAAGCCTGATGTGTGTATTTTTTGCACCAAATGGACAATATTGTTTTCCTGAGCACTTCCCCACTGGTCAAAGCGGCCACAAATTAAAGCCAGAGCTCAAAATTTATTCACTTTTTGGTTACACTTTCAAATGTTTTAACATAGGTTTGGGAAAATGGTTTAAACAGCCAAAAGCTTTTAATACCTGCTGTTATATATACACACACACACACACACACACACATATATATATATTTCTGTTATTTCATAGTTTTGTTGACTTACAATTTATTTGTTCCACAGTACAGTAACCTAATGCAGTACTCGTCACAAAGAGCCATTTTAGCAAAAAGGTTTTAAACAGGATTACTAATATTATTAAAATGTGGGAATTATTGTAAAACGTGTGTGAGTAAGTTTTTCACTAACCATTAGGAATCTGTGAGCCTGCTGGTAGGTTCGAAGGCCCATTAGTAGCTGGATTCGACTGGAGTTGGTTATCTTGCAGACATTGTTGAGCAAGCGTTTCCTCCGATTCTAGATCCTCCTCTTCTGGCAGTGGAGGCAAACTATCTTGTTTAAGTGTGGCTTGTCTGATATGCGATCTGTTCTGCAGCCTTTGAAACAGGTAAATAAAGAGAGAACGGTCATAATGACCAACAGTATAATTTTGTGATTATGAGCGTGTGAGGAAACTTGAGTTTAGTTTTATTCATTCCTGTAAGAAAGTAAAATCACAATGTTTCTTACGTCAGTTTTGCTTTTCCATTGCTCTTCTACATGACATGCAATGATATAAACCTGAAAATTACTGCCATATAATGCAGCTTTGATATTGTATGAAAAGACTAGCTAAGAGATTGTGCTGTACAAATATATAAAATGTACCATGCTGTTGGGAGGACAGTATTCTCTGGTGGGTTTTTGTCCTGTTTGGGCTTGATTTCGTTTGTTGTTGTTTGTAGCTGTGGCTTTTTCAAGTCCAGTCCCGCAAAACTGCCTTTTGCCACCTGAAATATTTTTTGTAAAAACCACATGCAGTTCACATGCAGTATGTCATGCGACAAAGAATCATTTATTTTTATATTTAAACAAATGGTCTAAAAATGAATGTGAACTCTCACCAGCTCTCTGTTGGTGGTTCTGCGGATGGTGACGTTTGGACTTGAGCTTGCAGGCCTGTTTGCCACTTTCCCGCAATGCACCTGGGGCTTTCGTGTGGTGCTTGAGTTCATTGTATGACATGAGGCTGAACGACGACAAATATGAACAACTGAAGATGTATGGTGTTTTTTTTTTTTTTTAATGAGGTGAATTAATGAGGATGAATGAGTACGGAGAAACAGGTTTAAGCAATGAGCATGAGAAGAAGAAAACAGGAAGCCGATATTTATTACATCCAGCTCCAAACTTGTGATTTCTTTGTGATTTGTGAATTCCTCAGTCTAAAGTGATACCTGTGTCTCGTGACAGACACACAGCACTCCTGCTTCTGGCTAGATAAGAGACGGTAGGAGTCTGAAGACGATGGACAAGGTCAATCTCCCATTGACTAAGAGAGCGGCGCTTAGCTAGAGGAGAGCAAAAAGCAGAAAGCAGAGCGACTAACAGAAAGTGGTCAGAAAGGGAGTTGGGAAAGTAGATGCAAGGCTAGAAGAGAGTTTTAGTGCCAGTTATTGCATTTTGAATCACGTTGAAATATTCACCATTATTGTTTTCATTCTTGTTGACTCTTCGTGAGCATTGGCCAGGTTTCTGTTTGGCCTTCTGACTTTTCTCCATCGTCTTCTGCACCACAGACTCATAACGCTCCTAAAACACAGGATGAAAACACTCCCATTATCCCATACTCCGTATGTTTTTAATCATGGTTGCAAAATCTCCACAGCAATTTTTCATCATAGTTGCTGCAGACAGTGCTACAGTGTTTATGAAACCCACACAAACAGATGGTATACACAGTCTAAAATCTGGACACATTTGACTAAATTGGTTTCTCGTGATTCTGAAAAGTTTTTGATCTTAAGTTTTATGCTTTAAATTAGTTATAGTAGTTTATATGTGTATATATATATATATATATATATATGTGTGTGTGTATGTATGAGTGTATATATGTATGAGTGTATATATGTGTGTGTATATATGTATATGTGTATATATATATA